TTTTATTATTATCATTATTATTTGAATGACATCCTTTGTTGTAAACGTCGATATCAGTTTTCAGCAAGGCCACAGGTTACGACTTTAGTTAGAGTTGTACGTGTACGGCACTTGCAACACAATAAGGTCATATAAATGATGAAGATTGGAGGTGTTATAAGAGAGTAACAAACACAAAAAAGAAGGTGCAGAGATAAGGACGACAGATTTTTTTTATACGAAAGAAGGAGCAAACCACATCAGAGTACTCGCCTTTCACCCGCCATCTAATCTTCGGCATTTATGTGACCTGTTGGAGTTTCAAATGAGGTTAAAACCCTGACATTAGTGCGCCATCCTATCTTTCAAAGACACTCCCTCTGATAAGAAAGAAGCAGCAAACCACACAAGAACACCCGCCAGCCGCCTAATTTCTATCTTTCAAGGACACTCCCCCCAAAACCACGGATCTACCTCAGGACGCAGACACAAAGATCTACCTCAGGATGGGCCGACACGTTTCAACGACATCTTTTGTTGTCACAGCCGATATCGATTCCCGTTAACACCCAAGGGTTATAGAGCTTTATGACACTGAGTTGTCTTGTCCCGTCACGATTATTGAAATTGAAAGTAGAACGCACGAGGAGCTCTGGATATAAGTTTCGGTTTTCCCCCTAAGATCGTTCATGACAAGATAGTTCACTGAGCCAAAAAAGTGTCCGCGGAAGTCCGCGCATTGCTCATGCTGCAGATGGCGCTGCAGTCGCAGTTTTGAAGCTCTCTTTCGTTTCTCCAGACGAAGAATAGGAATTGCACAGTTTGTTAGTTTCATTGTTATTGTTTTTCACACAAGTCGGGTTACTCTGTTCGCAAAGTCCGCGCTTTTTCAAAGAGTGTGCCACCAAATTTTGAGGAAGCTTTTTTTATTTACATTATGTTTTCACGTATTAGATGGGTATCAAGTTGCCTTTTTTTAGATCTGTTTCCATTCGCTAATTCGCATAATTTAGATTGTTTGTTGTTTGCTAATTATATACAAGTTGCGCACGTTAAATATCCCTTGGTGGTCCTAATATCGACAAGAGTAGGCTTCAGCTGGCACCCGGGCACAATTCTAAATTAATTCCTACCAACACTGCAAATACACTAGTCAGGTCAGTATAAAAACATACCAGATTACCTTTGAAATCGGTGCGTGCAGGCATAGGGCACTATTTTCACTAAGTAGGAAAAACTGTCACATACATTATACATACAAAGCGAGGACTTCCGTAACAACCGACCACTATGAGACAGGGTAGAATAAAGAGCTAGGGGTAGGGGAAGGGGTAATGGGGTAGTGATAGGGTTTGGGTTTGGGTTTGGGGTAGGTCTCTTCTTTATTGTGTTTGTTGGGGTGGTCGGTTGTTACGGAAGTCCTTCCCGTGCAAATCAGTTGCGCTGCAGGTAGAAGGAGGAGGGAGGGGAGGAGGAGAAGGAGAGCAAATGAATAGATACATACATTGTTTGTTGGAGTTTGAGTAAAGAGAAGCACATCGACATAATAACGGTCATTTAGTGCTGGAAAAAAGTAAGACAGGCAGACAGAAACAACAGAGGGAAAGTAACGAAGCAGGACCTACCAGTGGCGCCTTCTAACCACTCGATGCTCACACAGACAGACAGAAACAACAGAGGGAAAGTGAAGAAGTAGGACGTCCTACCAGTGGTGCCTTCCAACCACCCTCAAGATAAATAAATAAATAAATAAATATAGAAATAAATAAATAAGAGAAAATCAAACGGGATTGAATAATACATAAAGAAAACTCCTAATAAATAAATGGAAAATAAATA